ACTTAGTGACCCTCCGGATCAATTTAAATGCAAAAAAAGATGAAAGCAAAATAAATGCAGATCCCGTACCTATAAAACAGGAGACTCCGGAGGATACCAGAGTAAGACAGTTACAAAAATGCCGAATATCTATTAGGGAACCTGACGATATTCAATGTCATTTCTGGACTTACCGTGCCAAATTACAGTAGCTTGTAAAAGAACTGCCAGATATATCGCCAAGAGAACGCCATGCGAAGCGTAGAAAGCTAAACACATAGGGTGCGTTAAAAAATCAACTATTTTTTTCACTTTATCTCTGAAAAAAAGGTTGGTAGACACCTCAAAAAAATTATCTCCAAATATGAGCTCTTAATTTTAATAGGAAGGTCCCCTGCCTTTCAACTTTCAAACTTCAATGCACAATAATTTTAACAGTTTTTGCTTAATAATTCGAACAATTCCAATTTATTCTATAGAGTTCCGGGAAAATTTGTAAATATTTGAGTTTCTATGAACAAAGAGATGTTTTAAACTTTTTTTCTAGTTTTTTTTTACTCCTAAGCATGTTTGGGTACATTGAAACAAAAAATTATTCCATTTTTTATAGCTTAGAGTCAATGATAAAAAAATAACGTTTTTGTGACAAATTTATAGTTATTAATGATACAAGTTCGATACGAACATCATAATGAAACGCGTGTAACGTTTGGGGTAAAGTTTGTATCGAACGTGTATCATTCAAAATTTAATCTCCGGCGCGACACGAAGGACGATCCAAAGAGATTTGATTTAATTTAAAATTTTTTTTTTTTTTGAAAAATTAAAATTTCAAATTATCAGGCTGCCCATATACATCGACGCGCGCCGTGGTAACCGTGCTTCTTGATTGTTTCCATTTGACTTTGACAACTCAATTATTGATGGTTCAATTTTGTTGTAAACGTTCAGTTTTTAGCCAGAAGCAAAAAATATTAGATGATGGGTGAGTTTCTGATTCTGAAAGTGTCCTTTCGGATATTGAAGGCATTTCGCAAAACGTTGTCGATTTCCCTACTTCCCGAAAAATCAGGACAAACGTACGAGCAAGCCTATATGTAAAACTTGAAGATTGGTGTAAAGGGAAAGGAATCAGGAATAGTAGTAACGAAACGGTTTTCTTCCGGATATTTTTGAACATTCTTTCAAACATAGGAAGGGCTTTACATCACTTGGGCTTATTATTCCATTGCTAGTTCAGTTATTCAAATGAAGAAAAATAAGATATTTAGTAAGTACGCCATTTAATTGCATTTCTAAAAAAAAAACAAAAAAAAAAAAAAAAAAAAAAATCAAGAGAATTTTCAAAGAAAAGAAGATTGAACTCGTTTTTTGTTGGAAGCCGATGATAAAACTTATTTACTGACAAAAGTTTCATTGATGGTGGGACTTGCGGGAGCCTGATGCCGGCGTATCGAGTTGACAAATCTGCAGCTGAAAAATGGTTGAAGATGAAGGACAATGCATTTATGTCATTATTCCATTTACGAAAACAAATATATCACGAGTTTTTTTCTATAACGAAAGGGAATGTTGAAGGAATAAATATGGTGGAAATGGTTCGAAAATATATAGCTATGCGGCCAAGCAACACAGGGCATGCTAGATTTTTTGTGAGGTACAGAAATGGAAAATGTATTAAGCAACCCGTTGGCATTTATACTTTAGGGAAAATGCTGTATAAAATAGCATTGTTCCAAAGCTCTTCAAATCCACACCAATACATGGCATTGTTTCCGTTAGATGGTCTGCGTCGTTGCTTGCAGATTCAGGAGAGGATTTATTAACTGTTAAAAGACACCGACATGGTGGTGTCTTTAACGCTCTAACACAGTGGCAGAGAGTTATAGAATTCCAAAGAAATAGAAAAAGTAGTATATTTTGGGTAACATTCTGGCAATGATGGGTCTTTAACAGTTTCAAGACACTCAGGAAATAAAATTTTACTTTTCTAAAAATTCAAACTCACCTGTATCGTTCTGGAATTAATTTTAACAATTGTACTTTTATTATAATTAATGTTTTTACAGTAATAAAACAAAACGTATTTAGGTACCTTTTTTGGCTTGTTTCTTATTTTAAAATTGTTCGTGTTATTATGACTTCATTAAATAGCCACTCAGTGCTATTTATCAAAGCCTAATGACATCCCAAAATTAACATTGTTCAAATGTGTCATAATGACATTTAGTCGTAAATTAAATATATAAAAAGCTAATGTTTATATTTTCTTCAAATAAAAAATCAATTTTTTATCAAAAAGTTTTTTTTTTAATTTAATTATCAACTGAGATATAATTGGATTGGGATTGTTAAACCGGAATTGTCCAAGTGTGTGGTACTAAATTATTCGTAAAAAATGCTTTTTCCAAATATTCTATTCTAATGAGCCACGCTTGTTCCATTTGAAAAAATTGAGATAATATGATTAAAAATACGATTTGGGTATCTCTTAACCGACCAGAACAAGACATGAAAAACATTAGACGTCCAAGTCTATTTTTCCAAAGCTCCTTGATTAAAAATTAGTGATTTTAACACCAGTCATGGCACGCTAGATTGAAATTTAAAATACGATTTTTTTTAAAGCAAAAATGTCAAAAGTTGACATATGATATGTCATTCTACGCAGAGTGTCATTTTCTATCGAATAAAGTAGAAATATATCGAAGGTGCCATTTAAAAATCAAAAGTTGCAGTTATTTCCGGTATAACACCGGAAGTGACCAAGAACAATAATTGAATACGTCAATCAATCCTAATTTATGTCATATACTAACCTACCAAATCTCGTTTTTTATCTCAAAAAATAAAAAAGTTATAGGGGTGAGCCACTTTCGAGACGCACCCGGTATAAGTATAATAAAAAAATTGGTAAATGTTTAACTCTGTGCTATTTTCATATTTGTATTAGTCATCTTGAATTTTTGCCTCGTGTACTTATTGCAAATATTTTTATCGATTTTATACCGAATTCATACACGCTGTCCAAATTATTCTTGGTATCACACATCTCCAAATCCAAAAGAAGAAAAAAGACTCAAAGTCTCTCTTCTTCTTTTGGATTTATTAAACCAGGTCTCTTTGGGAATAATGAACGCCTTTTTTAAACACATCTCTAATATTAAACCAAAAAATACAAATATTCATTTTTTTTTCAAGGTACTCGTGGTTTGGACCACTGGGAGGTCGACTTTGACACTAGAGAACGATGGGAGAACCCATTTATGGGCTGGGGTTCTTCTGGCGACGCCATTTCCAACATCAAACTAAATTTTGCCACGAAAGATGAAGCTATAAACCACTGCAAGAAGAACCATCTGAAGTACTGGATACAAGAGAGTAAAACGCAGAAGAAATTCAAAACGAGGAGCTACGCTATAAATTTCCATTATAAAAACAGAACCAGGGTTAGCACCAAATGATTTGTAGTAATGTATTTAAAAATAGATGTTAGCAAATATAGAAGAAAATGTATTTTATTTTTATTTATATGTATATCTTTTTGAAAAAAAAGGTATCTATGTTTAACTAGTTAGGCAAAGTCCTCCTAATCTGGGTGGGGAGTGGGGAGTCAACCAAAAAGTAAAGAGGCAACAAAGCAATGAGATTTTTGAATGTCCGGAGTGTGGAAGAAAGATAACATCACGTATCGGTCTTTTCAGTCACAGAAAAATTCATGAAAGGCAACGCCTTGCGTAACTATCTTCTGATGCATGTCAAATACTCGTCAGCGAGTAATGGCAGTAAGCAGGCGAATGAAACTGCCATTTGAATTTTGGAAACACGCCGGAGTTTCTGCCAGTAGAGGGATAGATGGCGCTGCGTAGAAATTTCATCTAAAGTCCCTAGATATTCATCTAGGGACTTTAATTTCATCATGATTTTATCAAGTTATCCACAGAGTATTGTTTAATTAATGAATTCGTTTGATTCTCTGTGGAGTAATGGGAGTAGTTGGAGTAGTTGAAAAATAGAGATATTTATATAAAATGTTGATAATTTAACAGTGATGTGCTTTGTTACCTTCTCAACAAATATTGGTATGAAGTTGCTTTCGCCAGAAACAATTATAATTAAATAATTTAATAAAAATTTAACTTCTTAGTCACCCGGATCAGTTAGATTAATAAAATAAATTGAAAAGTAAACGTCATTCCATATTTGGCCAGTCTGTCAGTTTCTAAAGTGAAAGTGAATTGTGATTTGTTGTTATGGGAATATTTTACGGATTTTCGCGAATTTAGAGTATTTTGGACGATAGGATTGTGAAATTTAAAAGCTAAGTAGTTCAATATATAAGATTAATTAATCCCTTGTGATAATTTTTAGTGAAATTTCTCGCATCAAAACAAATTCTTTCAACAAAATGGCTGTCTCAGAAATTTAGAATATCAATTTAAAGTTTTGTTTAAATGAGGATCGAATCAAGAACTTGTATAACATTTCATATTAAAAGCTTAATTTTTTAAGGTTGTGCAGTAATTTTAAGGGGAAGGGGTACGGTTTTCAAATAAATATGAAATATACAAATTTGCAAACACAAACAAGTAATTTTGAAAAGATTATTTATTTATTTAAATGAGTATAATCATTAATCATTTAGTTTGAAAATATATTTTTATTTACTTATTTATACATTTTCTATACACTTGTATTATTGATAAGCTTTATATGTCCTGTTTTGTTTGTAAAAAAAATGTTTCGGGTCATCGAGAATAGATTTACTAACAAATTTGTCCCTTTACTTTCTGTATTATACAACGCGAATTGTAAGATGTTTCTATTTGAATACGCCATTAAAGTTGAGATTAAAGTTATACCAAATTAGATACACGTTAACTAATATGCCTTTTATATAATGATTTATTTATTTATAATTTATAACCTTTTTTTATAATTATTTATAACTGATCGTATAAATTCTGATAACTTATATATATACTTGTATAGTATTGTTATATGTATTTTTATTAACAAATCGTCGGCTTAATCGGAAAATGTCGTAAGTCCATATTTTTTGGAAAATAACATTTTTGCGCCATCTGTTGTGTTATAACCATAGCTACCTATTTAGCAAATATCGGATGTCCAGGATAAAATTTAGTGCGCAGAAACCTGTATCAAAATTTTGACGTAAGTCCACCCTGCGCAAAATGTGTTAAGAAATTGTCGTAAGTCCGTCAGTTTAATGGTGTACGTGCATCGTACGTGATAATACTTGTCAATTTTAGCTTTATCTGTGTTTTTCTCTTTGAATTCGGTCTAGAAAGTGTCTATTATTACGTAAGGTAAGTTATTTTTGAAATATTTTTTATTTTTCAGTGTATATAGGTTGAGTCTCATTTAAAAAAACATGTTTTTTCTCCAAGACCACGTAAGGTGGAGTTACGACATTTTCTCTATACTATTCGTAATAAAATTTTTATGCAGAGTGGAGTTCAAACATTTTCTTCAGTACACAAAAATTTACAACTTGTCATAATTAACACTCTTATTAGTAAGATAACTTTATTAAAATATTTTCAAAATGTGGTTACATATTTTTTAGTATAATGGACAAGTTTATATTGGGTCCGAAGCTAAAAATTCCACCTGTTTCTTCTCGTACCATGTTGATGATGCAACAAGTTTCCGATTTACCTGAAATATTTACTAGCCCTTCAACAGTACAAAATGATAAACATTTTGATAAATTTGTCAACAAGAATGCTGTGATTTTCGACATCCCAGAGGTGACTGATGGTATATTTTCAAGTGAAAAACGTACTATTAAATATAGTGAGAGTACTTGGGCAACTAATAATAATGCAACCATAATTAATAATGACCTTGATAATGCTGATATTTGCAATGTTGGCGAATCATTAGACCTAGAAAATAGTGGTCTGCAATGCTTGTTTCCGGTAATAAATAATGGTAATAATGCATTTTTTTTCATTTAGTAAGTACTTTCTTTCAAAAAGTTTTTTGAATTGCAGATAACAATGAGTCAGATTACAATAAACCCTTGGTACTTAATTACCTGGAAAATACAGAAAACGTTGAGCCTATATGCCAGTATGTTCTAGACCCAGAGATGATTACTAAAGGTAGGTATCTTTTATTTTCTTCCTTTAGTTTTTATCGGGGTTTTATAATGACTCTTTATTTTGCAGACAACTATGGGACCATGTATGATAAAATCATAGAAAATGAAAATATCGTAAGAACTCAATCATGTCAGGATATTCTAGAAGCAGAACTCGAGCCAACAGCATCAAATTTTGCCAAAGGAAATGGAATTCTCGGAAAAGATAATTCTGGTATTGACGGGATTAACACACAAGTTTCAAGGCAACAGGATCCTGACTACATCCAAGAAAGTGAAGATAGTGATACAACCGAAGAGGATGATAACATAACTAGTACTGTGACAGAACAAGATGATACAGAAGATGATACTAGTACTGTGACAGAACAAGATGGTACAGAAGAAGAACGTTTCATTTCCAGTAATAAAAGAAAGAGGCGAAAAAGACACGATGTTAGACAGGATATTTGGAGAGAAAATATTAACAAAAAAAAGAGAGAAGAAGGTAAAGAATACACTGGTAAAAAGAAAACCCACAACGGCTGGAATTACAATATTAAAAGAGAACGAAGAGTATTAGGTCCACGATGTGATTGCAAGATTTCCACAAATAATACTTCAATACAATGTTCTAAATTAACTGATCAAGACAGAGACCATATCTTCAACTATTTTTGGGATACTTTAGACTGGAATCAGAGAAAGATTTACATCGACATGCTAGTAAAAATATCAACAACAAAGCGTCAAAGGAATAGAAAATTGGCAAACCAGTCAAGAAGGAGTTATACATGGCAATACTTTCTGAAAAACGACGAAACAGAGATAAGAGTGTGTAAAAATATGTTTTTGTCCACTTTATGCATTGGGGAAAGATCTGTCAAAACCTGGAAGCAAAGTCAATCTGGAAACGAAGATAAAGAAGGCGAAAACCCAACACCAACAGTAAACAGCAAAAGACTAGCTCTAAATTTTGAAAAAAACAAGACTCTTAAAGAGTTCTTTGACAACATTCCAAAAATGGAATCCCATTATTGTAGGGCGAGCTCATCGAAACTTTACCTAGAACCCCAATGGCATACCAAATCTGCTTTGTATAAATTTTATAAAACACACTGGTGTAACGAAAAGCAGTCTAATCCTGTTTCAATCGCTACATTCCACCACACATTTGACTCCATGAACTTAAGCATTTTCCAACCAAAAAAGGACTTGTGCGATACATGTGTCGCACATGATGCTGGAAATTTAAGCAACGAAAACTATGAAGATCACATACAAAAAAAGAAGGAAGCCAGAGAAGCAAAAGAATCAGATAAACTATCTGACCATAAGGTATTTTGTATGGACTTACAATCGGTTTTGTTAAGTCCTAAATCGAATGTGTCGTCTTCCTATTTTAAAACAAAATTGATTGTGCACAACTTCACAATTTTTAATATAAAAACCAAAGACGGATATTGTTTTATCTGGCACGAGTCAGCTGGGGGTGTTAGTGCAAATGATTACTCATCGATAATTTGCCAGTTTTTAGAAAATTCGGTCATTCCATCCATAACCGCAGGACAAAAGATTATACTCTTTAGTGATGGTTGCACATCACAAAATCGTAATGCTGTTTTAGCAAATTCTTTGCTTAATTTGAGTATGATCCACAACACGATAATAGAACAAAAATATCTTGAAAAAGGGCATACTCAAATGGAAGCAGATTCAATGCATGCTACCATTGAGAGAAAGCTTCATAACAGAGTAATTAATGTACCTGCCGATTATGTGGGAATATGCCTACATGCACGAGAGAAACCAAGACCGTACACAGTAAAATACTTGGATTACAAATATTTTAAAAAATATGATGGCATCAAATTTGTTACTTCTTTGAGACCAGGGAGAAAACAAGGAGATCCTGTGGTTACAGATTTACGGGCTATTCAATATTCCCCAAGTGGAGAAATCAATTATAAATTACGACACCCTGACGAATATAAAAAGTTGGAATTTCGGCAGAGTCAGAAACAAATGCCGGTGACTTTTTCCGAATTGCCGCCCCTATATACTAAGGCAATTCCTATAAAAAAGCAAAAATGGGATCACCTACAACAACTTAAAAGCAGTATTCCCAAGGACTATCACTCATTTTATGATAATCTTCCATTTCAACAATAAATACTTGTATTTTTTAATTTTGTTATTTTTTGTAATAAGTTACATAATATTATTTTATATTGGTATTTTTCAATAAATAATACTTTTTTAACATAAGAAATCCATAGTTTTAATAATACGTCGTAACTCCATTCTGATATAAAAATAATATAGGAAAAAGTTGTAAGTCCATCAAAAAAATCCTGATTGCATAATTTCAAATTTTTTGTTTTTAAAATAACGTATATGAATATTTTAAATTCAATAAATGAAGTAAAAAAAAACTAAGTTATTAATTGCAAACTGTACAAAATTTTAAGTGTCTCCTGTAAAATTTTGTATTCAGGACTTACGATATTTGCCGATTAAGCCGACGAAATGTTATAATAAAATAATCAAGTTACAAATTTTTCGTGTTTTATTCTAATTTCAGGGATAATTTCAATCTAGATTATTAATTTATTTGTATCAAAATACATTATTTTTATTTTGTAAATGTTTTTGTTACAAATAAATTAATAATCAAGATTGAAATTACCAAATATAAGTAAAAAACTTATGAACTGGCAGTAAAGGTCCATTTAAAAATATGGCGCGAACCTTTAGTTCTGCCAGTAGCCCGCTTGGATCGCGGCGAGCGCGTGTTTCCAAGCTTTAACATAGGAGTTTTCATTTCTTTCAGTGAGTTATTCTATGGCAGTAAGTATGTATGTATAAACTGGGCTTAAATATATAAATTAAGATGTAGGTCCGTTTGCAGTTAAATTTTTTATTGCTAATAAATAAATACTAAGCTTCTTGGGTCGTTTTGATGGGCTAAATGTCCGCCATGTTTGCAAATTTAATCTCTTCCGAATGTTGTAATTAAATTAGTGTCTCCCGTGACCCAATTTCACGTTAGAATCGTATAAATTACTCTATTAAATTAGATATGGTACTAAAATGGAAGATGAACGCTGAAATTAGGCCTGGATTAACCATTAGCACGAAGGCTTTGTTGTTACGCCCTACGATATATTTTCTGTTACTCACGTAATATACAGGGTGTACAAATTCCAAGCACGAGCATTGGCATCTCGGTAACAGTAGGTAGCGATTACTTGACGTCATTTGTAAAAAGTGAAATCAATACATTTTAACATTTACAATAAAGAGTACCAGATGCATTCGGAGGTATAAAAACAAGATCTGTTCAAAGAGCTATAAATAAAATTAAACGAAAAATAAATTTGTGCAATAGGGAGGGTGGTCATCCTTTCGAACATGTAGAACATTAAAAACTAATTTGTAGAAGTTGATTTATTTATAATAACTACGATTAATATTATGCATATTATTAGATCGTACACTGAGATTTCAAATTCACATTAAAAAAAATAAAAATAATATCTTTAAATTGCTGACCTGGATATTATTTATTTGAGTCTTCCAATTGGCTCGATTTTCCTTATTCAATGTTAATTATCGCTGATCAATATTGTTGCGGTGAATAAAATCAGATTAAATAATTTAAAAAAACAGAGTCGGACTTGAAATTATTTAAAATAATAATTAAGAAGTTTTGTTGTTGTTAAGGTACCTACCCAAATCAAAAAAAGTATAAAGTGTACATATCATTGTACTCGGGAGACCCAGTTAGGTATTTAAAAACCTGAAATAAAAAATGCAGGTCCGTATTTAAAAAAAAATTAAGTTGGCCTCTGTATCTCACAAATTATCAGCTAATTCTAAAATCTAAAAATACTGTCAGATAGCCCTAATAAAGTGGCTATGAGAATGTGCAAGTAGTTTTTTGATTTTCTAAAAACTAACGACAAGATATAATTGATTTGCAAAAAAATTCGTTTTTTCCAAAAAAACTCAGCCATCCTTGAAATTTTTAAAACTTTTTCGATGGCATCTTGATGAACATCACAAAGCGCAACTTTGGCCCAATTTAACCATCTTCAATTTAACCATCTTCTCGAATTTACAACACCTTGTACAGGATGGTCTAAATTAAAATTTTTATTCGATCGCTCAAAAAAAAAACTCCACCAAAAAATTTTTTAGGCAAAAAAATCCTATATCAAAGAAGATTAAACTCTACAAAATGGATAGTTTAATACGATTAGATATTTTATTATATTCAAAATGAATTAGGTAAATATTATACAAAATTCATTTTTACGAGAGAATATAACCAGAAAAAAGCAAACCACCTAGTAGCCACTGCCCACAGATCAAATTAGACATACATATATCGTTTCGAAAAATTGTAAACAATAAAATGCGAAGTTGACCTTTATAACAAGCACCTTGAATTGAATTAAAGATAATTTAGATCGATTGAATATTGCTCTATTCAGAGTGTATATCAGTCAAAATAGTCAAATTGAATGAACTGAAAATGATTGAAATAGATGTATAAAATTGTGTAATAAAATTGTAAAATTTCTTACTTATTTCGATTTTTTCCAAATAATTTCTGAACTAATGCCGATATTTGAATGAAAATTGGCGTCTGGAAGTTTTTTGACATTAGAAATTTGATTTCGATGCCAATATAACCTGTAGAGGGCGCCACCTACATATTATTAACTGGTTTAAAGACTAATCATTTTTCGTCCATTCCTGTATAAAACTAATGACTAAAAAATATACATTTACAACACATTTTAGGTAAAAAACGTCTCTTGGTAAAAATCGCTACGAGTAATGGTTCGCAAGTTATTTGGAATCGAAATTTTCAATACCTGTCAATATATGACATGTATTGATTATTTCCATTCTGAATATCTTGAGAACGGTTGTTCGTCGCGATATTTACCAAGAGACATCTTTCACGTAAAAAATCATGGAAATGTATATTTTTCACTCAGTAGTTTTATACAGGTACGGACGAAAAGTTATTACTCATCAAACCAGTTAAAAAATTTGTAGGTGGCGCCCCCTACAAATAGGAGTCATAATGACATCAAAATCAAATTTCTCATGTCAAAGAAACCCCCAGACACCAATTTGACTCCAAAAATCATCCAAATATTGACGTCAGTTCAGAAATTATTTGCAAAAAATAGAAATAAAAATGAAACTTCTACACCCTGTATCTCCGAAATTAAGCATTTTAGGACAAACATTTATAGCTACTTTTTTACATATTCTTGTCTACAGAATATGCTGCCGAAGTTTCCGGAATACAGTTCGGACCACCCTGTATATTATTTTTATTTAATCTTTAGCGGGCTGTAACTTCTTCGGAAAGCATTTTAGGACATATGTTCATAGGAACTTTTTGTTTTATTTTTATCTGTAGTTATCACCTACCAAAGTTAGATACACTATTTTTTTTGACACCCTGTATATCAGGTAAGAATCATGAATATATTTCTGCCCTCCCTCCACCGACAACACCAGCTCGAAAACAACTATAGTCTGTCCACCGAAAGAATACAATAATGACATACATTTCCGAGAAAAAAAAATGGATATTCGTCACTAAAAAATAAAATTAATATTTTTTTTTAAAAAGGTTTACAAACTAAAAAAAAAGAAAAAAAGTAACAGAATAAGAAACTAAATACCTATAACTCAACAATTACAAGCTACCTAATGAAATTGAGTGCCAGTCATTTTAATTCAAAAGTAGATTGCTAAAAACTGCTTATTCTGTCATTTTTAACCGTCTATAACCTGTCGAGATTGTCATTCTCTCACCTGGACAGACTATACCTACCACACTAACGACCACAATCCACCCCCAAAAATCCAGAAAACTCTATTCCTCGACTCATATCGTACTTATACTGTTCCCCGACGTATTCCCCAACCAAACGACGCGCACTACGTCGCGATACGCTCCTACGTGTGACGTAGGTCGCCCACCGACGCCGACTAGGAACAGGCCTGGACCACAGGACCATCCAGGCGCTCTCTGGATACTCTCGGGAGAGATCGGCTAACGCTCTCCAGTTTCCGACAGGAGCCGATCGATACCCGTGGCCGATGGATTGGTGTGCGTTCTGGGGGTGGATCCAGAGTGGTAAAAAACAAAGAATCTGTTATGGTCAGTGTTTCAATACGATAGCTTTTGAATTAATGTAGAAAAAATCTTTTTAAGAGTACACTGATAAAAAAGATAGACTTGAACTAAAGTCGTCATCGTTCTTGAAAAAAAAAATTAGTGGCAAGAGAATTTATTTTAGCGTAAAAGAAAATATGTTCCCTGAAACTCTCTTAACTCAAGAAAATTTGTTCTCTTGAAAAATTCGAAAATTTCTCTTGAATC